TTGAATAATAAGCCCCCCCCCCCCCCCCATCTGAAAGTAAACAGTTGTGGTCCTGATGAGAGAAGCAGGAGAAAGGATGGTGGGTGGGGGGTCATTGGCCATGATTCCAACAGGTCAGTCCTGCAGGTGAAAAAGATGCTCAACAGCTCAAATCTGTGCTCCTTGTTCAGTCGTCTTCCTGGCTGAGCAATAATAGATTAGAGAGTTCTCTAAATAAGCATTACCTTAGATAAAGGCATTAATCAATGTACATACACATGTGATATTTGAGAGGACGAGCACTTCATCACATGTACAAGTTTTTGCATGCATAATAAAAAAATCTTGCATGAACAGATCAGTCCCAGTCATCTCTGTAGCGGGCCTATCATAACGCCGCAGCATATGCAGGGTAAGGTTCAAGCTGAGGTTTCCCCATCCCGGGCAGCAAGATGTAGGCTAAGGGCGGCTGGAGTCCCGCCGAGGGCCAGGCCGTACAGTTACACGGGATCATGTACCCCGGGTTACCCGGTGACGGGTGCGAGTGAGTGTGTGTCCCGCCGCCCACGCCGCCAGTCCCGGTAAACGCCGCCGCCCCTCCCGGCGGGTAACCCAAAGGAGAGGCGTAAGGAAAGGAAGGCGGGGAAAGCTCGGTCATCTTGGATCCCAGGTCAAAAAACGAGTACGGGTTCGCTGACATGGACGGGTTGAAGAAGACCCTCGCAGCCGCGGCCGCCGCGGCCGCCGCAGCCTTGTCCGGGTTCCCGATGACGGAGTCGGAGAGCGCTCCTGCGGAAAGTCCGCTAACTTTGAGCGCGTCGTGCTCCCCAAGATTATAGGGCACCGGGAAGGAAAACTTATCTTTTTTCATCAAAGTCTTGGGCTTCCGCCTCGGTCTGTACTTATAGTCTGGATGCTCCTTCATGTGCATCGCCCTGAGCCGCTTGGCTTCGTCGATGAACGGCCTCTTCTCGGACTCCGTGAGAAGTTTCCACTCCGCTCCCAGCCGCTTGCTGATCTCGGAGTTGTGCATCTTCGGGTTCTCCTGAGCCATTTTCCTGCGCTGGGCTCTGGACCAGACCATGAAAGCGTTCATTGGGCGTTTTACGTGATCCATTGGTTTAGACATGCTGCCTCAAACTCTCTCTAAAAGAAAATATAAAGCAAAGTTTAATAACTCATCAAGCAGGCAGAAAAAAAGAAAACAGACACATACACACCTACACACACAAACAAGACAATCAGCTTCATAACAATGTCATTCTTTCAAACTGGTAAGATTACTCACACTAGACTTTAGTTCTTCATCCCACCCGTGGATTATCCGGTGAAATTGTCAAGTTTCTGCGTCCTTATGAATGCTCAAATCTTTCCAGCGTCATAGTGCCATCCAGAGTTGATGCACCTTAAGTGAAAAATGTCGATAATAAAAAAAATAAATAAATAAGGAAAGGTTGTCTTGTTCTCCCTTGTCGCCCGAGACTGTCAGCCTAAACGCGCAGCAGCAGCGTTATACACAAGTGGATGACAGCTCCCGCTTGCCCCATGTGAAATACCGGATTGTGTGTGGCAGGTAGTGAAAGTGGCGCTCACGCATGCGCACTAGAACTAGACCCTTGATTTTTTTTCCCCCCCTTCTCTCTCTTAATTTCCACTGTGACTTTTTGAACATATCTCATCTTTGAGATATTTATCCTTTTTATAACTGAATGTGGAAGTTATTTTCTTAGACGGCGATTATTCATAGGCAACTATGGCTTTATTCTAAGATTTTTTTTTCTAACAGCTGCACATTTAAGCGCATTCATTTACATAAGATCTTTTCCTTTATTAAAAACGAAACATGAGCATCACCTCATTCACTAAAATCTATTTCCAAGAAAGATCTGTCCACTTTGCGCACTTTTCATCCTAAAGGTGTTTTCTCTTCCTCGTGGGTGGCGCTCCCCTCTAAGAAGAAAGGTAAAGAATGGCTCTTTCTTTTTTTTTTCTTTTTTTTTTATATTGTCACTTTTATTTTATTTTTCGCTTAATAAATAAGCAAAAATATCGGGCAGGTCTGAAGTGTTTCTAATCGTGCTCGGTTAAAATTAATTAGTTTCTTGAAATTCCCCCCTCCCTCCCACTTCCACGTTCACTTCAAAGGACCTTCCCAAGGGCAGCGAGTCGACAACTGGAAATTAGGTTGTCCAATATTCAACTAAGCAATTACAGCTATCAGCGGGACCTGTTGCGTAAACTGTAGGTTTTAAGTGGCTTGTTCTGGCACTTTCTCCTGTTGTACATAATTATATGTTCAAAAAAAAAATAGTAAAGAAGCGGCATTGAGCAATATTATAAATGACAAATTAAGCTGCAGGTTGAGCGCTTAAATTAGGATATAAAATTCAATTCACTCCAGTTGTCCTTTTTAACGCTCTGCTCTAATCAGCTTGCACAGTATTACTATTATTATTATTATTATTATTATTATTATTATTATTATTTATTTATTTATTTTTATTTTTTAAATTAAGTTGACAGTAAAAAAAATAAAAATAAAAAAAATCTCTTAACAAGGATTAAAGAGGGATTTATTGCGGCGCACCTTTGTCTCAAGAGGAAACCTGACAAGGTGAGGATGATCCGCGCCAAATTAACAAAAAGGGGCCAGATGAAAGATAGACCTGTTTCCCTCAAAACCGACCCGAGCATCTCTCAACGCCGCGCCTCTCCGCCCCCCCACCCTGTTTTGTCGGCCTTGTCATTCAGCCCCTCGATAACATTCCTGCAGAGAAGCGGCCCACTCCCTCGGCAGGAGCATGTAGCCTCTCATCACACAAGCGTGCAAACACAATTGCATGCGCAGCCTCCTTGCAGTGGTGAAAGTTGTTATCGGAGCAGAAGTGTGTGCCTTCAGGAGGGCCTTCTTTCTTTTTTCATTTTTCCTTTTATTTTTGATAAGCCC